TATGGGATCTTATGGAAGAAACTTTTGATGACAAATTTTGAAAAAATTAAAAGAGTATGGCAACAAACAACATATCAATGGCCAAAACTTTTCTAAATTACCGTATTTACTCGATTAATCCCCCACCCTCGAATAATTCTCCACCCTCTATTAATTCCCCATGCCAGGGATGAGTTGAAAAAATATTGAAAAAAAAATAAAAAAATAATAAAAAATTTTCAATGAAAATATTGAAAAAAAATATTCCCCCCCCCCTAGAGGAATTATTCGAGCACATACGGTAGCCTATTTTTGATGTTCTTAGTTTTAAAATAAGTCTGTTTTTAAGCCTGATTTTTAAAATTTTAAAATAACTTTTAAATTTAGAACAAAAAAGTTATGCTTAATGGCCTCAAAGCTCGGTAACCGGTTGAATTTATTAAACATATTAAAAACCCTCTCATTTCTAACAAAATCATCTCCATTTAAATAAAAAAATATTCAAAAATTTTCCTTAAAAATATTATTTAAAGCTTTTCCCAAGCCAAAAATAAAAAAATAAAATATTTAACGCCCCATTAACTACCCAAAAATGGGCATTTTTTTGTCAACAACTGGGCCAATTTTTATAAAAAATCAACAAAAGCAGGAATGGAGAAATTAAAGAAAATAACGATTAAATGATTGATTTACTTGTGTATTTATTTCCTTATTTAAATCAGAAAATAAAAATTTTTTTAAAGAAAATTTTTAGAGGAAATTTTAAAGGAAAAATCGTGTGACTTGACACGAAAATAGAATATTAAAAAATAAATTTTTTAAATATTTTCCAAGTCTTTATGAAGAAATAATCAGTAAATTTAAAAATTAAAATTTTTAAAGCATCTTTAAGGAAAGTTAAGATGCTTTAAAGGAATAATGTTAAAGTTGAGAAACTAAAAGATAAAACAGTCCGGAATTTATTGCGTAATGAGTGAAATTTACCGAATACGCTAAAATAGTTACCCTGGGTAATTATTGTTTCAACCTTTGGCTAGAAGGGGATAATTAATAGGGAGGGGGTAATTATTTGAGAGAGGACTGTGACGACAAGGAGTTTATAAAAATTTTCGAATGCGAACAATTATCTTTCATTTTTCCCGCTGATTAGTGATTAGCCCTTAATTTTTTAAGACGATTAGTTTTTGATATTTCTTCCCTTATAAACTATCAGTAATTTTTAATTTCCGTTTATAATTTAAAATGTAACAACTCTCGTAAGTTGCCAAGTTTTTCATACAGAAGAAAAGGGGAGATCAAAGCTTAAAATTTGTTAAAAGAGAAGGTTAAATTCAGTAAATATCCGAACCAAAGATAGATATTCGAATCAGGGAGGTCACGGGTTACCCGAAACCTGACCCGACATTTTTCTCACCCCGTGACATCCCTGATTCGAGTAGTTATTACGAACAGTAGATATTTAAATCCGGATATTCAAACAAAAAAGTTTTGAATATCCGGAAATTTTCGGTTCAAATATACGTGGATTTCCCGGGATCCGCTTCTTTATAAATCAGTCTTTTAACCCCTTATAATAATTAGGTCCACAAGGCTAAACTAATAGTTATTGTTAGGGGTTAGCTAATTTTAAGGGGTAGCTAATTTTTGAAAAAATAAATTAATTTCCTACATTAATTTACCTATAAAAATAAATTAAAAATGTTAGCGCGAATAGAAAATCGAAAATAAAAAAATATTTTGTAAAAGAGAGAGATGGCCATTAAATAAAGGAAAAAATAAATGGAATGTTGATTGATAAATTGGATTAGGAAATGAAGAAGCAATCAAAAAATAAGGGGGTTGTTGCATAAATAAAAATATGTGTGTGTGAAATAGAGGCTTAGAAAGGATTGATTTTTGAAAAAAAATTTTCAAAAAAAAAATTTTAAAAAATTTCTAAAAATTAAAAAAAATTTTTTTAATTTTTTCAAAAAATTTTCAAAAATTTTCAAAAAAAATCTTCAAAAAAAATTTTTTCAAAAATTTTCAAAAATTTCAAAAAAAAATTTTTCGATTGAAAACCAGCATTCGAGTGATTGATAGACAGGAAAAAAATAAAATTTTTTAAATTTACGTTTCTTTCATCATATGAGAATTTAGGGAAGATTATTTTTAGGTTCCCCGCGGTGATACTCCTAGATTTATTGAAAATAAGGACAAAAAAATAGAAAAAATCCTCAAAAAATAAGGCGTTAAGGAATTTTTGAGTGTTGCTTATTTTAGGCGTGTTTAAATAAAGGAGTGGTTATCAATAAATAAATATTGCTTATCAATAAAAAAAAGCAAAAAATAATTTTTGAACGTTTTAGTAAAAGTTAGAAAGCATAAACGTTGACTAGTTCCGTTAAAAAAATTTTTTTTGCAAAATTTTGTGGTCACTCGATTTATATTTTTAATTTCAACATACAATCTTGTGGTATGATAAAATAGAAATGAGCAAAAAGATAAATAAAAATTATAATTTAATAAACGTCTTAAGAATTTTCAGAAAAGTAGGAGAACCTTTCAAATAATCTATGGTCTACACAATTTAGGCAGATAAATTTAATTGAAGCAGATTTTACACAGAATTTATGGGAATACTTAAAAGACTATTTAGGGGTATGCCGAAACAGATTTAACAAGCGATAAACGAAAGACAAAAGTCGAGCCGAACCACCAAAAACGTCGAAAATTCGGCGAAAGTCAAAGACAAAACGGCACATCCTCGGTGTCCATGTTATGGTTCTCCAAACTTTTCTGAAAATTGTTAAAACGATTTAATTCTTTTTAATTAAAAAAAGATGTTTCAATATAGCCGCTTGTCTCAGGCCATATTTTGGGCCAATAGAAGTAACTCACAAAATGGCCCTGCTAGATCCTACTTTCATTATTCAACAAAAAAGTATGGCATAAAATGTGGCCTCAAGACTTGAACGAATTTCATTGAAGAATATCAGTAATATTTTTAAGAATAAATTTTTTTACATTAAATGAAAGTTTAAACGAACAATAGAACAAAAAATTGTTTAAAAATAAATTTAACAAATATATAAGTTAAAATATTAGCGGTGATAAGAATCTTTTTTTTTTGCTTTTAAAAATAGTTGCGCGTTGCAAATTAAACAATAAATTTGTGTATTTTTAAATGACTCATCAAACATTTTTTTCTTTTCCACGTCGGAAATTACCTTGATTTGTAATTTATTTTGTAATTTATAGACAAGTTTAATTGTAAAATTAGTTGATGTGCTCTGATTTTTGGTTAGAAGGGATTTTTAAAAATTAAATTATTGAAGGAGGAACTAAATAGGGAAAAAAATTTTCTGGCTCTAGTTAAGGACATGCGTCCCATGAGCGTTTATGCGTCCCTGAGCTTTTATGAGGCCCAAAAATACTATAAGCGTCCCGTCAGAGTATGTGCGCCCCAAAAGACAATTAAACGCATTACATATTATGCTTCCTTGCTCGAGGAGCAACGAGCAGTAAATTAGATTTTGTTCTTTCCTAAACTAGAGCCAATTTTCTTTGTGAATTTTTGCTTTAACAGCTCAAAAGAGTGATTAAAGTTTTCTCTCAATCTAGCAGTTAAATCAAAAAAGGAAAACAATTTAGTCGGTGAGATGGAGGGTTGAGCAGTTAATATTATTAAATCGGGTAGTTCTCAGGATCAAGTCCTAGTTCTTGGGATCAAATTCGGCACTCCTCCCGTTTAAGGGGACAGCAGTCCTATGCCCATTATTTTTGGCAAAAAAATTTCAAATGATCCACGTTTTATTTGTGAAAACTACGGCCCCCTTATACGGCAGGAGTGCCTCAATGAGGATCATCACCCAACTTCATTATGGTGGATCCTACACCCTTTGAGGTTAAAAAGTTAGTCGTTGGGGTTTGTAAAAGGCTGACAGAGAATATAAGGGTTTTAAACTAAAAAGGTCACAAAAGGTCAGAAAGAGTTTAGCAAAAGCTTAGCCACCGGATAGGATAAGAGCATGCGACAACGCTGACAGTGATTGCTTTGCCTTCTTCACAGAAATGCAGGTATGCATACCAGAGAGCTACCGGGGCGACTAATGCTTTATCTTTTACCCTTTTAGATCGTTTAACTCCTGCCCAAGTGTTTTAGATGCTCTAGGTTAATCATCCCTACAGGTTAGAGGCTGGGGTCAGAGTTAGATGGGATTGGGGTCCAGCCCTATTTACAAGGGTTTTGATGTGCTTTATGCTACCAAAATAGTAGTTCTAATTAAAATTGGAACGAGTTACAGCTTTGCCTGCAAATATCAGATAGGTGAAATGGAAAAATAAAAAACGAATAAAAGCAAAAAAGGCAAAAATATAAAGGAAAACTAAAAGCTAAATAAACCTTTTTTTTACAAAAAAAATTTTTTTTGGACAATAAAATAAAAGGAAATTTGTGTTCTTAGCTATTCGTCTTTAAAAGGCAGAAGAATGGCCAAGAAAGCAAAAAGATTGTTTTTGGTTTGTTTGTGTGTTTGGATAGAAGATTGAGGAGGAAGATTAGAAGAAAGAAAAGGAAGGTTTTTATTTGTTTGTTTATATTTTTGCCTTAATTTTGGAATTATTTTATTTATATTTTTGTATAGTTTTTAAGCTTAGATGGACATCGAGACCGATTTATATAAAAAAGGAGAACAAAAAATAATGAGAGGTTCAGGGACTTTTAAATCTGAATTAGAGGTCTCGAAGATTAGATAAAGCTGAGATTTTAAATCAAGTTAAAAATGACTTCGGGTATGACCTCTAAGAAGGCTAGGAAGCTTCAGTATGAAGTGTTATATCCCTATGGCATTATTGCGAATTCGAGCTTATCTAATAGAACATCATAAATAGTAAATCGGACCGAATTTAATGAAAATATCGGTTATTGGACTTCTATACAAATGCAAGGGAGGATTGAAAATATTACTGGATCAAGATTTTCTGAGCTACATATTTTATAATTACATAACATCCTTAACAAATTACTGTGTTTACTTTAACGGTATTCGGAACTGAGGAACTGTTCGGGTTTCTGCAACCGAAAGAATACTGATGGTACGTGATTAAACTATAAATATATCTTTATAAATATGTAATTAAAAACATATTTCAAGAATTTGCAATTAAAATCTAACGGTTTATGAAACTGATTAAACAATTTAAATGCGAATGGCACACAAATCTTATTAGACTTTAAATTAGCCATAAATCAAAATTTACTATAAAAGCCTTGTTGGCTGTTTCATTCTTCCCTCCAAACACAACAAAATCTTCAACCACTTCAACTCTACGTCAACACCGTCCAAACAAACAACAAGGACAACGCATCATGCTCTTCTGTCTCCTTCATCCAATGGACCACAACACCGGACCTTTGGCAAGGAAGTCGTCAACGCTTTGTGCTCTGCTGCTGGTATCCATCGCCGCGCTCTTGCTGCTTGCAGTTCCTGGACAGGCCATCGTTGAGGAAGTCGGAGTCGCCAACCATATCAAGAACGGAAGCGATGTGACGCTCAAACCAGTCAGTAAGCCGGCCAGCGATGACTTAACTTATGCCGAGTACGTGAAGCTTTTTCCTACTGTCTGTAATTTCTTCATCAACGAGACATACATGTAAGTTGATTCGTTCTTAAGACTTGAGGAAATAATATTTTAATTTTCTAGTGAGCTTCTATACGAAAACAGAGGGTGCACTGTGGAATTGATCACCGAACAGAAAAAGGAAAAGATCAAGCTCACGGCTGGAATGTACTTGGGCAAAGCTGGTTGTAAACTGGATGACTTTAAAGGTTTTGGTCCCAACTTTAAGCATGGCTTTTCAAATCTGTAAGTTTAAATTGAATGTTTATTAGAAAAGAGTAGTCCATTTTAGCTTGCCATTCGCCTACAGCAGAACCAATAAAGAAATCAAAGAACTCAACAGAGGTCCGACCTACAATGATAATGTCACGTGCGAAAAAAAAGAGTGCGGGGAGCAGTGCATGAATCATACATTTCTTGAAGTCTCATGGAACATGTATGGTAAAGAAGTAGGCGCTCACACTCATCTAAGTAAGATGACGATTATTTCTACTTTAAAATAATATATTTATTTCAGTTGGTGAACGTGAAACAGGCCTGGATCAAAAAAACACTGGTGCTAAGATGGAATTCAATCTGGAGATAAATGCTGATAGCAGCTTCAGAATGCTATTTGATCCAGAACATAAAATTGATTTTGATCCGGAAGATATTTCTTGCGCTCCAAAGGGAAATGTCCTACCCAGACCAGAAACATGGAAAATCAAAGATGGGGACCTGAAAGATAAATATCTGCTCGTCTTCCATCTACTTCCACAAACGGCTTCAATAAAATACGAAGGAAACAAGCACAAAGGAAATCTTGGGGATGAAGGACCAAAATGTGATCTCTTCATTCGCTTTGTAATCTTTTTCAATTTTCCCAAAAATTCAACTAAATTTTTATTTTTTAGAACAGGACAGACGACGGCTTCCAGTTTCTCCAGGTCGACCCTCAAACAACGACTACAAGCACAACTACAACGACCAAACCATCAACAAAATCATCGACCACATCAACAGCTATCGGAACAACTCCAACGCCACGACCGCAGCAAGGAACTACAACAAATGTGGAAGTAAAGGACACCAAAAAGGGAAGCAGTGCTGGGAAAGTGATATTTGTTTTGGTTATGTTGGTGATTGTTTCCGCGATGATTGGGGTTTGCGTCTATGCTGGGCTCGACTACCGCAAAAAACAACAAAAGGAAAAAGAAGAAGAAGCAGCGAAAGCAGCAGCAACTGAAGCAGCAAAAGCAGCGGAAACAGCAGCAGCTGGAGCGGCAAAAGCAGAGGACGAGAAAGAGAGGTAATAGTAGAAAGAGAGATAAAATAGAAATAATAATTTTTTATATTTTTTCAGAGCTGCCAAACAATCGGATGATGAAGCTGCCGGAGGGAAAAAGACAGAGGACAGCAAGGCAAAGAACGATCAGGCCCCGAAGGAGGAAACGACTTCGAAGGACTCGACTCTGAAGAAGGACCCGGCACCGGAGAAGGCGGACGCTACAAAGAGCAAACAGGCAGGTACGACGTCGGATGTTCCAACGGATATGGTGTCGGAGGCTAAAGAGACGGAACAGTAAATTGTGGAGATGAAGTGATGGTTGCGGCTAAATAAACTAGGAGATGAGAGAAGTTGAGAAGATAAAAATTGGAGATATACATATAGAGAATATAATTTGTAAATAATCTGTAAATCATTCATTCTCTATTTCCCCAAACCCCCAATATTCTCTCCTAATCTCTCAACAAATTGTATTTCTCTCTATATGTATATGGCTCTATATGCCAATCTATATATTTTCCTATATCCCCTATATTCACATATTAGGCTATATGCCCATCTATATATGTGTATAATCTATATATCTATTTTCCCTATATACCCAAATTTTCCTATATATTCCTTATATTCCCTATATATTTGCAGGTTGAGTTGTATTCCCTGCTATTGTTCATTATATATTGTATGTATATGTATTTTTCTGTATATTGTGATTGTTGTGATAAATATATGTTTGTATGGAATATTAATTTTATGTTTGTTTTTAATGCCAAATCTAATCCTTATACATAAGGCTAAAAATCTGAGCTGAAAAATCTCAATAAAAATGAGAAGTATTTGAAATTGGGGATATAGCCTAGGGTAGCTCCCTCAATTATCCAGTGCACAAATAACTTTAAAAATATCTTAAATAGAGTATATCAAGGATGTCACGGGTAATCCGATACCTGAAATTAAGAGAATTTCCAACTCGATACCAGATTCAAGAGAGTTTCGAACCGAAATCCCACCCCACCTTTTCCCTCTACCCGTATTCTTCCATTAAATAGAAGAATTAAATAGAAGAAAAAATAAGAAATTTTTCCCTTTAAAAATCAAGGAAAAAAATTTTTTTGTTAAAGAGACAATAATTGTGAAAATTTTGTTTAGAAAATAAAATATTCTTTGAACAATAATTGGTTAAAAATCATAAAATTCAAATAAACGTGGCAAAATAAAATACAATGTAAAGAATTTTTGTCAATTTTATGACAATTTATTAGCGTGGCCAAAAATAAAATGCAAAAATAGAAAAAAGTTTTTTGAAGAAATAAAAACGAAAAGCTATAAAAAGTGACAAAAGAAGTATATTAATAAATGGAAATTTTAAAAATTTCAAAATATTTCCAAAAATTAAGTTCAAGGAGTAAAGATATCCGTCAGACTAGAATTTAAAACAACTTACTAAGCGGGCGTTAAAGCTTTACTAAAAAAGAGAAGGTTAAACAGGCGTTGACACCTCATGCCAGTCGGATGGCATGAATAGAATGGGTATGGATAAGACAGATCTCATATGTGAGAATCGGAAATCCTCAACGGTTTTAGGGTCGGCAGAATCCCCGGTTTGTATTTGGCACTAAGGTTGCGGATAGTTGGAAATCTTCGGATATCCGGATCAGATATTCCAACCAAAAATTTCCGGATATCCGGCCTTTTTTCGGAATCCGGATCCGCCAACCTTACTAGGCACAAATACGAAAATTAGTTTTTCTTCCTGACAGGGCTAGAAAATTTTGTTTAAAATCTTAAGTAAAATAGAAAAGCTTAGAAGCTATTTTAGAGGAATTTGTTTTTGTGTAAAAGGGTAGTGATTAAATATAATAATAATAATCGTATAGTAAATGAAAAAAGAAAATATTTAAAATAGTAAAAATATAGGGAGGAATTAAATAAATTAAAAAGAAAAAATATTCAAATCCTTTAAATATTTATTATTAAATATACTATTAAACACCTCCAAATCCCTCAAAATATTTTTGTAAAAATATTTAAAATAATAGATATTAGTCTGAAGAAATTAAAAAATTAAAACATGTAAAATATAAATATGTAGAATGCCTAGGAAATTTTTTTCTCATAAATAGAGGTTAGATAACCTAAGGCTACGCCTAAATAAAAAGCGCCCACATCTTGAAGCCGCTGCTACGTGGTTGCATAAATTAGCGTCTTCAGCACAGATGATGTGGCAAAAAACGACAAAACACTAAGACCCGGCAAAAAGCGAAAAAACACTAGGACCCCGTGGCGCTGCCTCCCCGAAAATTTTCCCCGTAGCCCCCGTCGGGGAACAACCCTAAAAATACTAATTTTTATGTAAGCATTTATCTTCTTTTTTCCCCTGGACTTGTCGCCAAGTAATGTCTCAAAAACGCGAGCGATTTTTATGTAAGCAATAGTATAAAAATTCTTTTAGTGTGAAGAATAGTAACAAATATAATGGAGATCTCACGGAATACCGAATAAATTTTTTATAGATTGAGATGCAAAGAAAAGTTATTAAAAATGATTAAATCAATTATTAAAAAATTCAGAAAATTCAAAAATATTGAAAAATAATTTTGAAAAATTTGAAAAAATTCGAAAAAATTCGAAAAAATTCAAAAAATTCATTGAACTCTTTAATAATAATAAATAAATTCAAAAAAATTAAATTCCTTTTTTAACTTACCCCATTCGATAAAAGCTGCTCTTCTTCATCCCCCATTTCTAATGGAATTTGTTGTGAATTAACTAATAAATGTTGTTGATGACGAGAAGAATAAGGGGAGTTAGAGCCGCTAAATGGAAGGCCAATGGAGCAAGAGCCGCTCTCTTCTGTTGTATTTTCTTCCTTTTTTTTTGTTAATTTTTAAAATTAAATGGAGTGGATGGGGAGAGGAAAAACGTGACAGAAAATTTTTTAGAAAAAATTTTTAAAATTCTTTTGAATTGAAAAGGGGTAGGAGAATGGGGGAAGAAAATGAGAGAAAGATAGAGTCAACAACTGGGACAGGGAATCAAAAAATGAAGCAGAAATAAACGGGAAGGTACCGGGAATTAAGAAAGGATCTGATAAAGGCAAAACCGAGTGAAAAGAAAGAAACCGGGAAATGTGTGGTCCATTTAAATTAAATACCTACCCTATAAGGTGGACTTATTTGCGATATTTGACCACCTTCTATAAATTGATTTGGCTCTCTAGGAAATGGTTGCTATAAAAAAATCTTTAGAATGAGAATAAGAGGATAGTACTGTAGAATGAGAGGACTCTGAAAAATGTCACAATTAGTATTGTGAATTACTCATAAAGCTAGCTCCGAAGTAGGCTACAGCCAAAACTTAATTTTCAAAATCCCTGCGCTGGAATTAATGCCCAGCTTTGAAGTCGGTCGGAGCCGGAGCCACAAAACTTCAATTGCTCTCAATCTACAGTAATCCAGTACTGCAATTAAACATACTTGACGCTGTTGTTCTACAACATTCCCTGAAATTGTGTTAAGTTGCTGAAGTAAATATTCTGCAGACAAATTGTTTTCCTTGGCCCTTAGTAAAAGAAAAATTTTCTTTAATAATCAGATCCAGAGAAATTACCAAATATACCCTTCCTCATCCAACACAAGCAAAGAACAGCCCTTAGAGCTTGATTTAATGCGTTGGACAACCTTTTAAATTTTAAAATAGTTTTGGATTTTCCAAGTAAAGTACCTCTTTGTGAGATAACCCTTCAATAGATTCACCATTTACCGCCAAAATGTGATCTAAGGGGCGTAGACCAGATATCTTATATTTTTAAATTTATTTTAATGAATAAATAAATTATTTAATTTTTATATTTTCTCTAATAGTACATTAGAATGCCCATTGGAAGTTATTTGAAAATAGAGGTAGCAACAACAAGTTGCCATGTTTTTCTTTTCTTTATTGAAGGAAATTACCGGAGAACCGCATTTTTATGAACTCCCCATAATTGGGGAGTTTCTGTGAACCCCTATTGTTGTTAACTCCCCATTTAACTCACAACCTTACTTAAAAGTCAGATAATCCAAAAAGTCTTTATTATAGAATTATATGTTCATCTACAACATATTGCTTGAAAAATTCTCAAAAAAATTTTCAATTAAAAAAAACACCTCTGCCGGACTCCCAACATCCACAGCACCAACAAATTGCCCCTTTCCCATTTCTGCATGTAAATCAAATCCATATTCATTAACTCCTGCGGATTTAGTTAATATACAAATACGGGGTAATATTTGGTTTTCTTCCATTATTTTTTAAAATTTTCTTGAAAATAATTTTAAAATTAAATTATAGGAAAGTGAACTGTTTCACGATTAAGTTCTTAATGTTTTGAGTTCAAATGTACACGGGCACGATTTCGGAATCGTGAATTCACAACTCAAAAACGTAGGGAATTTCCAGATTTTTATGAACTAAGACGACAATCTCACTGATATGTAAGTGAACTCTCGTTAAGTATACCTTTTCTACTTATAAACAATGGGAGGATGGTCGGGTTGAGAAAAAAGGTCGGGTTGAGTTTCGGGTTTTTCACAATTTTCTTCGTATCGGATTTCGAGTAACACGGCCCATCCCCACTGGGGTGTATCTACAAAAAAAAGTAAAGCACCATAAAGTCGACATTGCTTTTAACCAAAAAAGGGAATGACTAACAACTAGTGGAAGACACCGGACAGTTCCTGCCGGATCTATTAGAACTGGATTACTCCTAAAAATATGTCCAATATTGCTTTAAACTATCCGACAATATTTCGAGAACTCAACGCGAGATGAGGCGATTTTCTGCCTAATCATCCGTTTGGCTTTAAATTTATATTTATATGTATTCCCTCGCCTTTAAATTAATTTTTTGTTTTTTCTGTAATATAGGTAGGAATTACAAGAGGAATAAAAATAAGAAAATTATTACAAAAATAAAAATATAAAATGAGATGATTCATTTCAATTTTTCTTTATTGGAATAATACATTTAGTAGAGGTGTAAAAAATTATTCCACGTAGATATTAAAAAGTGTCAGTTATATAAAGTGGTTATTTTGAATAAATAAGGGTTTAAAATTAAATATATTAATACAAAAAATTGAAATTGTTTTTTTGTCCAATTTTACAGAACAATGTTAAGAAATTCGAAATTGAGGAACTTTAAAATTGAATTAAGAGTAGAACAGCGCAGTGGCTACTCCGATAAACGAATTCCATAGCCGTTCGAGTTTTCCTTAGTTCCCTTCGCCCTAGATTTAAAAAGGGCGGAGCCGAAAA